TTGTCATCTATATTAACCTAACAAATGTTAGTTAGACTCTACCATGTGCTAGTTACATGACTTGTGTGTGTTTTTAAAAATTATTAAATTTTTAAATTATTTTTATTATTATTTTTGCTAACTTTGCTATAGGGCTCATGTGCTTATCAGAGAGAGAGAGGAAAAAAAAAAAAAGTGAGAAAGCAAGGTCTAGGACTTGAACTGCAGTTGGCCAAGTGGAAATCCAGTGCCTTAATAATTACACCACCTACTGGTTCAGCTTTTGTTTTTAAAAATGGATTATTTGAAAGAAGTCAGAGACGTCAACTGTCTGGGCATGCATCTTGCTACTAATCCCTGATAGCGCCAATATTGAGCCTTGAGCTCTGTGCTAGTTACCATTCTCTATAGTTTCCCTGAGCTACTTTATTTGTTTCCCACAATGTGAGGTAGTGAGGTAGACAGTACTGCCTTCATTTTACAAAGGAGAAAACTGAGGCTAAGTGGTATGTGAGGATTTGAGCCAGAGTTTATTTCTCCCATCCCTTATGCTATACCACCACCTCACATATGGAGTCTGTTCATTCTTGAGCCTGAAATGGCTCACCATCAAACGGTACACTCTTGTCCTCATTATAGTAATAACAAACCAGCAAATAGGCAAGAAGTTCCTGTTTGTTGTAATTCAAGGGCTCTGGGGTTGAGTCGGTTCTACTCAGGAGTTACTCAGTTTCCCTCATTTTAGTGAAATCCTGGACCAGGCCCTGGGAAAATTTTGAGATTGAGACTGAGGCTTCATCTGGAGAGGGCACTGACTTGGACACAAAAGCTGGGTTTGAGACCCACGTATATCACTAACTACATATGTGGCTATAGAAAAATTATTTTACCTCTCTGAGCCTTTGTTTTCTCGTCTGCAAAATGAAGAGTTAGATTTAATGATGACTGTCAGAACTGCATTGTTGTCATTTTAAGAAGTAAAACTCTTCAGCAAATTAAGTTTTATGTTGAATCCCAAAATAGAAAAACAAGTACAGGTGTAGCTACTCTGGTTGAGGTACAGTGCTGGGTTTGGAGGAGCCATAGTTTATCTCCCTACCAGGTCTTCTCCTTTTCCATGTTATCGCCAAGAAGGCCTCTGAGGTATTTAAGGCTTTGGAGGACACAAATTTCCTATGAACTAGGTTCAAATTTATCCTAGCTTTCATATTCTATGATTTTAAAATATCTATAGCCATAGGAATAGAACATTAGAATTGCTTTAGAATAGAACTAGGAACAAGGTTGATAATTCAAAGGAAAGAGATCATTAAAATTATAAAGAACATAATCGAATAACTAGGTCTGTGGTGGTCAGGGGCATGCTACTGGTGTCACGGTTCCTGAAGTTGGGTGCTAAGACTTTGCAGGGTGGCAGCAAAGGCAGACATTGCATTTTGTAATAATAATTTTTAAACCTGTTAAACTTTGCCACAGTTAATTTAATGAAATATGAATATTATTTTATCCTAGTAACATTATTCTAACAATTGATTTTATTTTCTTGAAGGTTATTTGATACTGAGATACAAATTTTTCAATTGTGATTCAACTATTATTGATTATTCCAGGAAAATGCTTTTCCTGGTTATTATTATTAGTAGTAGTAATAGTATGGCGCTTAGAAAATTTGGTTCATGTTCCCTATTCTATCTCTACAACTCTGGGCTCAAAGACTTTATTCACTTATCTGTATTAAACTCTGTTGAACTCAGCCAGTGTCTCCCTGGTGCTGCCCTGTCTTTGTGATTGACGGTGTTTCACTGGTTTAATTCCGACCTGTCTGTGGCCACATATTCTTTTCACTTACCTGCCTCTGCCTTCTGCTGCTTCTCAATCTTCTCCAGGCGCCCTAGCAAGGAGTCAATTTTAGTTTTGATCTGGGTTAATTCTTTCTTGATTGTCTGTAACTCATCTGATTTCACTGGAAAGGGGAAAGAGGAAAAAGAAAATAACAACAACAGAAGATCAAATGCACCATGACTCACTGAGGACACAATTGACAGACACCTTGACTTTTTCAAGACTAAGTCCCATCACATAGTGTACCGTTCCACTTTATCAGCTTCTCATTATTCCTAGTGATCCTGGAAAACAGGATGACATTACCAATTATGAAGGTGATTCTCAACGATGTGAGCATCTGATACAAAATCTCTTGACTGAATGTTATACAGAAAAATAATGGAATCTAGAAATAGTTATGCAATAATTAAATGGTGCTAAATTCCATTTAGGCAAATAGGAGATTAAACCTGTAGTGTAAAATGGATTCAGATTAAGAAGTGATTACACCACGACAGGTAAGGTAACGCTACTTTGAGGCATTATGTTGCAATGTTTATTTCAGTAGTCAGTGCTATTTTTAAAAAATAATTATTTATTTAATTTGATTTATTCATTTGTTTGTTTTAATTTGACCAGAGAGAGACACAGAGAAAGAGAGAGAGGGTAAGTGAGAAAGCAAGCAACCAAGTCTGGTATTCAAACCGTGGTCAGTTAAGTAGGAGTGTCCAAGACCTTAACTACCATGCCACCTGCTGGCCCCAGTCAATGCTGTTTTAAACCTAGCTCCTGGAAATTGACTGAAACTAATTTATAATTATCCTCTTGAAAAAAAAGTCTTGGGGTCAGCTGATGGCATGATGGTTAAGGCACTGGATTCTCACTCGGGTAACTGCAGTTTGAGTCCTGGTCCTAGTGACTTGACAATCACTATGGGCAGGTGTGCATACATGTCCAAAATCTCAGGAGGAAAATGGAGAAGGGGTTGTGGTGTGGCCATCCCCCCCAGGGAAGATTTATCACTTTCCCTCTCACTGTCTCTCCCTCCAGTGAGCACATGTGCCCCACGGCACAAAAAAAAAAAAAAAAAAAAAAAAAAAAAAAAAAAAAAAAAAAAAACAAAAACGTAAGGGTTGTTTTACATAATAATGAATTTCACAGAAGTTCCTCAAAGGGAAATATTGATTTAGGCAACTTCACAGGATATTTTAGTAACAGCAACAGTTTAGATTACTTCCATAGACAGCATATAAACTTTCTAAAATCTAAATTTCTTTACTAAGAGGTGTTGGTAGCATCCCCCTTCTCAGTAGAAAAACACATTTGTAACAGAAGCTTTTAATACAAAAAGACTCCATTTAGTCTATCATTTGTCATCTATATTAACCTAACAAATGTTAGTTAGACTCTACCATGTGCTAGTTACATGACTTGTGTGTGTTTTTAAAAATTATTAAATTTTTAAATTATTTTTATTATTATTTTTGCTAACTTTGCTATAGGGCTCATGTGCTTATCAGAGAGAGAGAGGAAAAAAAAAAAAGTGAGAAAGCAAGGTCTAGGACTTGAACTGCAGTTGGCCAAGTGGAAATCCAGTGCCTTAATAATTACACCACCTACTGGTTCAGCTTTTGTTTTTAAAAATGGATTATTTGAAAGAAGTCAGAGACGTCAACTGTCTGGGCATGCATCTTGCTACTAATCCCTGATAGCGCCAATATTGAGCCTTGAGCTCTGTGCTAGTTACCATTCTCTATAGTTTCCCTGAGCTACTTTATTTGTTTCCCACAATGTGAGGTAGTGAGGTAGACAGTACTGCCTTCATTTTACAAAGGAGAAAACTGAGGCTAAGTGGTATGTGAGGATTTGAGCCAGAGTTTATTTCTCCTATCCCTTATGCTATACCACCACCTCACATATGGAGTCTGTTCATTCTTGAGCCTGAAATGGCTCACCATCAAACGGTACACTCTTGTCCTCATTATAGTAATAACAAACCAGCAAATAGGCAAGAAGTTCCTGTTTGTTGTAATTCAAGGGCTCTGGGGTTGAGTCGGTTCTACTCAGGAGTTACTCAGTTTCCCTCATTTTAGTGAAATCCTGGACCAGGCCCTGGGAAAATTTTGAGATTGAGACTGAGGCTTCATCTGGAGAGGGCACTGACTTGGACACAAAAGCTGGGTTTGAGACCCACGTATATCACTAACTACATATGTGGCTATAGAAAAATTATTTTACCTCTCTGAGCCTTTGTTTTCTCGTCTGCAAAATGAAGAGTTAGATTTAATGATGACTGTCAGAACTGCATTGTTGTCATTTTAAGAAGTAAAACTCTTCAGCAAATTAAGTTTTATGTTGAATCCCAAAATAGAAAAACAAGTACAGGTGTAGCTACTCTGGTTGAGGTACAGTGCTGGGTTTGGAGGAGCCATAGTTTATCTCCCTACCAGGTCTTCTCCTTTTCCATGTTATCGCCAAGAAGGCCTCTGAGGTATTTAAGGCTTTGGAGGACACAAATTTCCTATGAACTAGGTTCAAATTTATCCTAGCTTTCATATTCTATGATTTTAAAATATCTATAGCCATAGGAATAGAACATTAGAATTGCTTTAGAATAGAACTAGGAACAAGGTTGATAATTCAAAGGAAAGAGATCATTAAAATTATAAAGAACATAATCGAATAACTAGGTCTGTGGTGGTCAGGGGCATGCTACTGGTGTCACGGTTCCTGAAGTTGGGTGCTAAGACTTTGCAGGGTGGCAGCAAAGGCAGACATTGCATTTTGTAATAATAATTTTTAAACCTGTTAAACTTTGCCACAGTTAATTTAATGAAATATGAATATTATTTTATCCTAGTAACATTATTCTAACAATTGATTTTATTTTCTTGAAGGTTATTTGATACTGAGATACAAATTTTTCAATTGTGATTCAACTATTATTGATTATTCCAGGAAAATGCTTTTCCTGGTTATTATTATTAGTAGTAGTAATAGTATGGCGCTTAGAAAATTTGGTTCATGTTCCCTATTCTATCTCTACAACTCTGGGCTCAAAGACTTTATTCACTTATCTGTATTAAACTCTGTTGAACTCAGCCAGTGTCTCCCTGGTGCTGCCCTGTCTTTGTGATTGACGGTGTTTCACTGGTTTAATTCCGACCTGTCTGTGGCCACATATTCTTTTCACTTACCTGCCTCTGCCTTCTGCTGCTTCTCAATCTTCTCCAGGCGCCCTAGCAAGGAGTCAATTTTAGTTTTGATCTGGGTTAATTCTTTCTTGATTGTCTGTAACTCATCTGATTTCACTGGAAAGGGGAAAGAGGAAAAAGAAAATAACAACAACAGAAGATCAAATGCACCATGACTCACTGAGGACACAATTGACAGACACCTTGACTTTTTCAAGACTAAGTCCCATCACATAGTGTACCGTTCCACTTTATCAGCTTCTCATTATTCCTAGTGATCCTGGAAAACAGGATGACATTACCAATTATGAAGGTGATTCTCAACGATGTGAGCATCTGATACAAAATCTCTTGACTGAATGTTATACAGAAAAATAATGGAATCTAGAAATAGTTATGCAATAATTAAATGGTGCTAAATTCCATTTAGGCAAATAGGAGATTAAACCTGTAGTGTAAAATGGATTCAGATTAAGAAGTGATTACACCACGACAGGTAAGGTAACGCTACTTTGAGGCATTATGTTGCAATGTTTATTTCAGTAGTCAGTGCTATTTTTAAAAAATAATTATTTATTTAATTTGATTTATTCATTTGTTTGTTTTAATTTGACCAGAGAGAGACACAGAGAAAGAGAGAGAGGGTAAGTGAGAAAGCAAGCAACCAAGTCTGGTATTCAAACCGTGGTCAGTTAAGTAGGAGTGTCCAAGACCTTAACTACCATGCCACCTGCTGGCCCCAGTCAATGCTGTTTTAAACCTAGCTCCTGGAAATTGACTGAAACTAATTTATAATTATCCTCTTGAAAAAAAAGTCTTGGGGTCAGCTGATGGCATGATGGTTAAGGCACTGGATTCTCACTCGGGTAACTGCAGTTTGAGTCCTGGTCCTAGTGACTTGACAATCACTATGGGCAGGTGTGCATACATGTCCAAAATCTCAGGAGGAAAATGGAGAAGGGGTTGTGGTGTGGCCATCCCCCCCAGGGAAGATTTATCACTTTCCCTCTCACTGTCTCTCCCTCCAGTGAGCACATGTGCCCTACGGCACAAAAAAAAAAAAAAAAAAAAAAAAACAAAAAAAA